TTGAGTCAATTTAGTGCTAATTTTGGTGGTGAAATAGCAGAAAATGACTAACAGTAAACAAAGATACACAAATTTGATTGACCAAGATATACTACCTTCCTAACAAGCTATGTTTTGACATACACAACTAAGGAAATTCACGATGTGCTCTCTTCACCTGATTTTCATTTATCTCAGCTTTTAGCCACGAAATCAACTTATTTTACTTGAATTTATCTGATTTGAACTTAATTTGGCTGCGAATTGGAACTTCAAAATCTGTAATTTTCCTAAATTTGACTCACCTGATTTCTTTTTTCTTGAATCGAACTTATCTAAACTTATTATTCCCAAATTTACTGAAAATCAGATCAAGTGATGACAAAAGAGTCTAACCCTGTATTTTGATTCTTTTGAATGCACAACTCAACCGATTAATCCAATTTCAATTATTTTTTTTGGGTTTTTTCCCACTACATTATTAATTAATTAGGTATAACAAAATATCTAAATCTTTCCATTAACAAGTCAATAAACTACTAATTAAACACCCAAAAAAAAAAAAAAAAAAAAAACTACCTTCAGATCATCCAAATTCCTGACATTACATTTTTGTGAATCATTTTCCACCAAAACAAAATTTATTCAAAGTTCAATAATTTATGAACAAGATTATAATCAAAATACTCTATTATTCAGTCCATACTCCATAAATAAAATGTTACATCTCCAATGTCCCAAAAAAAAAAACACAAATGTCTAGAAATGTTTTCAAAATGCATGTCAATTGAAACAGAAGAAAAAAAAAATCAAGAAAATACAACTAAACAATGAGGTTAATTACCTGAAACAATTAAACTGGTTGCTGTAGCACTGAATTTTGAAAGCTCCTATTCTCTCTCTCTCTTTCTCTCTCTTATGTTAACGTTATTTGTGAGGTATGGAAGGTTGAGTCCTGCCCAACCTGAGACAGGAAGTCAGATTGCCACTGTGTGGGGTCAAAATTCTGATTAACTTATTGACACGTGTTAGTATCCCATACTCCATTCGTCTAAATTATTAAAAAGCCCATTTTGGCTCGACAAGCCCGCTACTTTTTTACGAGTTTGGGCATGAGAAATTGTGTTAAGGCCTGACCCGACTCGCTTTTTTTTATCACCTCTACATTTCTCCATATGCGAAGTTTTATGAGAAATTGGAGAAAACAATAAAATATTGAAATAGTGAAGTTAGTGGAAGGTAAATAGGAAGAGAGAATCTAAAAGTAATAAAATTGAGTCCCACTAGTTGAGAAAAATGCATTAAATATTATAAAAGCTTTCCAAATATGGAAATAGAACATGTATTTAAAAACGGCCGCAAAAAGAAAATGGATCAAACTTTTAAAAATGGAGGGAGTATTTTTTACCTTATTACCCTCTTTTTTGATGATTTGTCATCGTTTTTACTTTATTTTTTTGTACCTCTTCCGTTTTTAAATATTTGCTCCATTATTTTTTCGGTCGTTTTTAAATACTTGTTTCATTTTCTTATTTAGAATTTTTTACAATATTTAATTCTCTCACCTAGAAAACCCAATATAATTCATATTTTATTAATTTAATATTCTCTCTCTTCTAATTCCCTCAACTATTTTACTTTTTACAAATTTTTATTCTTGCTCTTACCGCACTACATCTATATTTAATTACTTTTTTTTTATAATTTCTCCTAAAATTCCGCACATGAGAAATGGAGCAAGTACTAAAAAGGATAAAGTATTTTTTAACATCAATTTTCTATACTTTCTCTTCAATTATTCTCAACTACTTTTTTTCCCTCTTTATCTCTCTTTAACCCTTCATGCATTTAATCATTAGTTTCAAAAAATTTACAAATTTCTTAATTTCCTCGCAAAAACCGAAAGAGACTTTGGATTAGGGGACGAAGGGAGTAATTTGGAGTGTTTATTTGGTGTTTGGATTGGATTTGGGTCTAATTCAATCCAATTCGAGTTAAATTTGTTTTTGAAAACTTGATTTTTATCAAGTTCAAAATTTTCCAAAATCCAATCCTATTTGATATGGAACGAATTAGATTTTAGTAGTTTGGATTCATTCTAAAATTTGAAATATAATACTCAATCATCAATCTATCATTATCTTTTCAGGGCAAATGACCCTTTTAAATTTTAATTTATACTCCTTAAGTCACTGATTTTTTTGGCCCATTTGACTTTTTATAGTCTCCAAAATGTGTTTTAAAATGCATATAACTTTATTTCTATATGCATAAAAATTATAAAAACTTGATATTAAAAAAATATACAATGAAACAAATCTAATAAGACCCATTTGACTATATTAACTCTTACAAATTAATAAGAATTTACGGTCAAAGGTTTTGAAGTTTGACCCAATATTTTGGAACGAGACAAATAAATAGGAACAAAGGGAGTACCGAGTACAAATATGACTTTGTTTTTTGTTTTTTTTTTTTAACTTGTTCTATTTGACCTATTTTGTTTATTGTTAATTAGGGCAAATTTCAATGAAAACGGGGAGTCTTGTGTTCTTCTTTTGCATGAGAAAACTTTGAATATAGTCATCAAAAGTTTTTCTTGAAGGAGACTTGCTCGACGAGGGTAATTGCATAATGCCGTCATCTAAGGCAGACCAATCTGTGCTCATTTGTTCAACTTGGAGATTTTCCATTAGTGCATTCATAAGTGCAAGATCGCGTCTAATTGAACTAGATGTGCTTGACAGAGGATTGTTGTATGGATCATACAAAACCAGCTAAGGAAAAGATAAAAAAAATATAAAAATAAATGAGTGTTTTGTTAATTAAATAAAAAATGAGTACAAGAAAATAATTGACAAGTTTCATGCATAACATTTATTTTTAACATTGGAGTCTAAATCATAAATATATAATAGATTACTTATGATTAGCGATCAATAATGTCACCCAAAATAATTGATGCATTATAAATTCTCAGGTTATGTTTATATGATCACGGAAGTACGTTTTAGACCTAAAAATAGAAGTGATTGCATGTTGTTTTTGGTTAGTGAAAATGTGACCATACTTATTACGAGTAGCTCTTAGTGTCTTACACCTTGATCTTAAGATTCCAACTCATTAACAAAATACCTATACCGTGAAAGTTACTATAATAACTTAAACAAAATTATAATGGTAAGAAAAAAGTATGTATATATAACATCAAAGAGTACCATGTCTAAATAAATATTAGTATCATCAATTCTTGTTCAAATACTATGTACTAGTACTTTCAGAAATTCAGAATTAAATTTCTGCCTTTGATTAGATAAATAATTAATCGTGCACAAAAAAAATCAATTCTTCAATGAAAATAAAGAAAAATTAAAAGAAGACACAAAATTATGATTAATGTTAAGGTATAGAGTACTAACCTCATGCTCATCCGGCCTTAATTTCTGATGACAAGCTATTAAAAATCTTATAAGGTTATATTTTTGCGCCATACTTTCTCAAGCTTTTAGTAAAGATCAATGAAAGATTTTTTTTTTTTTTTTTTTTTTTTTTTTGGCGAAAGAAAATTCTTCAATATGAAATACGTAGTTGAGTACTTCTATTCCTTTAATCATGAAGGGAGTTAATTAATATATATATATAGTAGTATAATAGAGTAGTAGTACAAATCATAGGATAGTAAGAATTTGATTCCTTATCAAACTAAGGTTCTACTCCGTGTATTGATAAGATAAATTTATTTTATTTTATTTTATTTATTTATTTATTTTTGTAAGAAAATAAAATCTATCATTTACTCTGTATTTTGTCTCCTAATTTAAGACTTGAGACTTCTTTAAAACTTTAGGAAACTTTTAAGTCATCATACATAAATTTATCCTTATTATTGCAATAAGAAAAAAAAAGGAAGATAATTTGCTCTGTATTATATATTTTCCCGTTTTAATTTGGATAGAATACGTACTTAATCATAATTATGGTCCTTTAGGATTGTTATATTGGCAAAATAGAATAGCAAAATTAGGGGTGTCGTTCGGTTTTCAATTTTTCAATCCAATCCGATCCGAATTTCTCTCTCAATCCAATTCGAATTAAAATTCGGTTATTTGGATCCGATCCGAAAATCCAAAATATAATATATATTATTTTTTAAAGCCTAATATGATTATAAAAATTAAGCTTTTATATAAATATAAGTCTTGTAAATAATGAGTAAAATAAATTGTTCAATATCAACTCATTAATTAATTAATACAAAGTCTCTCTAATTAATTTTATTAGTAGTCAGTATGAGCTAAACTTCAAAAAATAAAGAAATTCATAGTTACACAAGCTTAATTTTACAATTTAGTTTTCAGTTTGGATTGGATCCAATTAAGGTTAATCCGATCTAATTCAAAATTCCGAATTTTCAAAAAATCTCAATCCGATTCGAATTGATAATTCGATTTGAATTGGAGATCGAATTATGAACACCCATAAGCAAAAGTCCCTTATGCTATGTTTGGATAACAAATTAGAAGGGAAATGAAAGGGAGGGAAATAGGAGGAAGGGGAAGGAAGGGAAAGTGGAGGAAATAATGAGCTCCATTTTCCCTCCAAATCTCTCCAATTTTGAAGGGATGGTCTTTATTAAAGGAAGAGGGAAAGTGGATCCCTCCCTCCCCCTCCCTTTCCCTCCCCCAACATATTATCCAAACAAGAAAGTTTGTCTCCCTCCCTTTCCCTTCCCTTCCTTTCCTTCTATTTTTTGTTATCCAAACATAGCCTAAATTGTCTACCGTCTTATATAATTCGTACGTAAAACATTATATGACCCTCCTCAGAAGCCCACGAAGAAACTATCCAATAATTGCTTGATTGTACAACTTTAAAAAATTTACCAAAACAATGGACTAACAGTACAATACACAGTAATTGCATGCATAACATTTATTTCTGGTCACGGCCCACAGTGTTGCCACGTGGATTGACCACCTGAATTGATATTGTAAATATTCTTTCACTTCATTTCCATGTTCCATTACCAACACAAACAAAGAACATAGATAGAAAGAGAGACATGGAAAGTGACGGATCTCACAAGCACTTGAACAAAGCAAGTTCAGGTAATTAATTTAATTTCTTGATTAAATGAACTAATCAACTTGTAATGACTTCTAAATTAGTCAGTAATTTGCGTGTATTTATGTCTTACTTGTATTATATGGTTTATGTTTTGCTCTTATTTAACAATATTTTCTCTGTATTTTAATCAATTTTGATCTTGCATGTACTGGATTAGCAATGTTAGCTGTATTATACAAAATCATATATCCTGTATAATGTATACAATATGCTTAGTTATCAATTATTTCATGTCTACAAATAAAAGTCTCATTTGTCTTTAACGAAAATTTATAGGGAGATTAAAACATAAAAAAATTACGTGGTTTGGTTTGGTTGATTAAAGGTGAATACAGTAAGGGCATGTTCTCTTCAGATTATTTTCAGTTCAGCTCAGTTAAACTTCAATAAGTTAAGTTCAATTCAGTTCTTAATTTCCTTCTCTTATAAAATATTCAGTTCAGCTTGGCTCCTATAAGTTCTGTTCAGCTCAGTTCAATCAATCACAACAGAGTCACAGACTCTAAGGGTTTGGTTGATTAGAAATTAAAAGTGCATAAAAAAAAATAGTGAGATTTGGTTGATTAAAAGTGCACAGAAAAATACATAAAAATGAAACGAGACTATTACTCATTTAGGTTCATGGATTTTGGGTGAAATGAGACATTTATTTGAAAATGAAGAGAGTAATAAAATTACGGAGACAATACAATAGTTTTGCAATGATAATTGATAATGACCGTCATTTGGAACGACTACATGTTTAATCACAAGAGTTTGATATATGATCTATGAATTATTGAATTGTAAGCATATGAGTCAAGTCAATTTTAGTTCGTTCAAGTCTAATTTGTCATTTAATTTGGGTTTAATCGGTAGAGGTTGGGTTTCGAAACATGATCTATGAGTAGTTAGTCAATGCAGTATTGCATTCACAAAGAAACATATATTACCTCCGTTACATATTATTTGCAACGATTAGACATTTTTTCTCTCTACTTTATGTTAAATCGTTGCAAATAATATGTAACGGGGGTAGTACTTCCTAAATGGTAGGTAGTGTATTCATAATAGTTCTTACAAAGTTACAAAACCAAACCTTGTTATTTATATTGGTTGCACTAAAAGTTCAATTTGATTCTATATAGTGTACTTGTCATATTTTTTTTCACTTCTTTACTTAAAATGCAGCAACAAAGCAATATGAAATTGGTGACAAGCCGAAGCATTCAAGGAATGGGGCTTCGTTTATAAAGGTTCTTGGCCGCGACTTTTCCAAGCAATTGGTACTAGTCTGTCTTTCTTTCGTAAGGCTTATTTAGTGATCATGTTCTGTTTTTGTATCCCCTGCTTTTGATCAATACATGATCGCGTTTGCTTATGTTTTCTTTATAAATAAATCTGTCGATTTTTAGCAAATACCTGAAGAATTTACTGCAAATATGAACGGCTACATTCCACATCGGTTCATCATTGAAAGTGGATCGACAAGGAAATGCTGGAGGGTAGGAGTGGAAAAGGATGGAGATGGGAGGATGTATTTTCGAGATGGTTGGGCTGATTTTGTAGAAGTGCATTCCTTAGGAGTTGGTAACTTCTTGCTCTTTGAGTATGAGGAGCAATCCATTTTCCAAGCAAGAATTTATGACCGTAATGGGTGTGAAAGATCTATACTCGTGGACAGTAAGGGTGGTGGAGGTCAGCAACAGCCTAAAAAGACTATAGATGATGAAGGAGAAGAAAGTGAAGCCTTGGAATATGAACCGGTTTTAGTGAAAAGTAATCGAAAGAAACCAACTAGATTAGCTCCAAGGAAATGTAAGTCAGTGTTGTTATCTTTGGCTAACTAGTTTAGCTCATTGGCTTCACTCTTAATCTATTGTTTTGATCAAATAATTCGATGCTAAATTATATTTTCTAGATGGAAGGGGCATATATAAAAGGAATCGTGCTGTTCCACGGGCATATACAAGAACTGCCAAGCTGTCAGTTAGCGAAAACCATTTGTGTTTCTCAATAATAATTCACTTCTCAAAGAAGCATCAGTTTCACCAGCTGGTAAATCTTAGTTCATTTAACTAATTTGTTCTTATTTGTGTACTGTCTTGATAAAATATTTATAATCGTTGATGTTTTCCTGCATTATATGGTAATGACTTGATTATTCTATTACGCTTGGTGAGTGCTAAAATATGCAGACTATTCCGAAGGCTATTTCACTAAAGATGAAGTTACCAAGCAAAGATGATCTAAAATTTCAGGATGTCCAGGGGAAGTGTTGGACTGTGACACTTGGACATAGAAGAGATGGTCGAGCAATTCTTTGTCATGGGTGGAAAGAATTCATGAAAGAAAACAAGATCGAACACGGGGATAAATTAAAATTTGAGTTCATGTCAGATGAACTAGTTCGAGTTCATGTGACAAAGGCGTCAGTGGTTGATGAGCATCAGTCTGATGAAGCAACTGGATCCTTAGATATGGATTGTAAGTCAGACACTCAGCATTTGATTTCTTGTGAAGGCTAATTTGCTACGTATGGCTGTTTTACTTGTTCTAGTCCTTTTAGAAAGTTTATCGATTTATTTCAAGCATTTCTATCCACATGTATGTAGGTAAACACGATAATAAGCCAAGTACTCAAACCCCAAATGATAAGGAAATTGAAACTAGGATGACTACAAAGAAACATATCTACGAGTCTGGAAGTTCGTTTTCCATAACTTGGAAAGAATCCGGTGTCAGAACATATCTGGTATGTTATTCTCTTTCCGATTTATCATTATCTTGAGCACTTGCTCATATCATGTTGAAGGTTGTCGATTTCTTATTTGCCCCGCTCCATGGATTTAAGTTTGTACTGGTTGTATATTGGCCTAATCAAGAACCACTTATAATTTGCTTTTTAACTAACAGTATATGCCTAAGGCAATTGCTCGAGTCCAGAAATTGATGAAGAAAGATAGTATTGTGCTTCGCGATCCAGAAGGAAAGTGCTGGCCTCTTCAGATTAAAAATTTGTCAGGTGGCCGTGTTGTATTAGCAAAAGGTTGGGCTGAATTCTACAAAGGATACGGTATAAGAACTGGTGACATGTTGGAATTCAAATTCGTGTCTGAGTACCTGATTCATTTGAGCATAAACAGAACTTACAGAAGTCCGACAGCTATTGAACCTGATGAAGACGCTGTAATCTGCTTAGAAACATCAGATAATGAGGAAGCTCTTGCCATCAAGCCAGCTGGGGCAGTCATAACACAGGAAGAATTTGACGCTGATATTGAACCAAAAGCCATCATTACTCAGGATGAATTTGTTGCAGAGTTTGATGCAGCCACCCCTCGACCTGGTGAAGTAAACGGTGTCATCAACTAGTTCTCGTCTTCTGTTTATCTTCATGCAACAACGCCTAAAAGGACTACAGCTTGTTCAATGAACATGAAATTAAATCTTTTGCCTTGTAATTAAATGTACTTTAAGTTCATGCAATTTAATCATGTATGCATTAGCACATGAACTTTTGGAGGCATGATCTTCACAGATAGAGCCTAATATTTTGTGTATATATAATACTGTATAAGTTTCTAAGTTTCACTAATATATGCATTTTGTTAGTTCCAAGGGTCTAGTCCTCAGGTACGTTATATCCTTATGGTTTCTAGTAGCAAAGAAAATAAGGTCGTGTTTTGTTCACCAGATTTTTTTTTAACCGAAGAGACATACGTAGTGGAATTGATTATTGAATTGGTAAAAACTACTATACGTACAGATCCTTGCAAATTAAAACAGATTAAGCAATTGCTCATCTCATCCTATCCGATCAATATAATTTTCAACAATAATATGCACTTTTTCTTTTACATATATGCTTAAATACTCCAAATTTCATATGGACTTTTATAGATACTAATTGTCGGACCATGCGGCCATGCCCTAAAATTACGTTTATAAAATTATGTTATAACATAGTTAGTTGCAATATTCATTATTGTTTGTGCATTTTGCCATAAAAAAAAGTGAAGCTAAGTAAATTCTACTTCGTAATTTATATCTTACCCATTGTTATCTTATAGATATCAAATAATCAGATAAAACCCTATAAAATATACTAATACAAAGTTATTCTATCTTTTTTTTTTTTATTTAAACGATAAGGATAATGCATGAGAATTAAAAGTTTCCTAAAGTTTTACAAGTTTGAAGTCTTAAAAGATCAGAAAACAAAATACAGAGTAAATGATTATACTTAGATATTTTATTTATTACAAAAAAATATAAAAAAAAATTATCTTATCAATATAGAACCTTAGTTTGATTAGGAAACTAAGTCCTAATAATCCTATGATTTGCACTACTATTCTGTTATACTTCGTATATATTACATCCTTGATCAAAGAAATAGATGTATTTCATATTGATCAATTAAAGAACTTTCTTTCACAAATTAAAAAAAAAAAAAAAAATCATTAACCTTTTGTAAAAGTTTGAGAAAATATGGAGCAAAAATATGACCTTATAAGTTTTTTAATGGCTTGTCATCAGAAATTAAGACCCGCTGAGCATGAGGTTGGTACTCTATACTTAATACTTCGTATTACTCATCATAATCTTTTGTTTCTTCCTTTTATTTTTCTTGATTTTCAATGATGTTTTTTTTTTCAACTTCAATTAGAAGCATTAAATTTATTGTGTTAATTTTGTATTTCGGAAAGTACTACTCCGTAGTATATACTTCCTCCGTTCTATAAATATTACAACAAGGATGAAATTACGCATCCCAAAGCACATTTTATATGCTAAATACCTATAATTGTGTAAGAGTAAAAATTATAAAAAGTTGATATTGTGAAAGTATTTTATATACAAGTTGATAATGTATATATCATATTATATGGTCAAACAAGAGTGATGAATGGTGCAAAAAGTCCATTGTTACAATATTAATAGAACGGAGGAAATATATACATAAGAATGGTTTGTGTTTATTTAGAGGATTGTATGATTTTTTAACAAGTAAAAACCTATGTTAAATTAAGAGATATAATTGCATTATAATTATGAAAATTGTAATGAATATCATCCTAGGCCATTAGTTCTTGGGATCAATTATTTGTGGCTCTTTACACCTAAATAAAAAAAATAAGGCCGTTAGTAGTTTAAGGGCATGTTCTTTTCCAATTATTTTCAGTTTAGTTTTAATAAGTTCAGTTCAATTCTTAATTTCTTTCTCTCATAAATTATTCAAATTCAGTTCAGTCAATAAGAATAGACCCTAAAAAAGTATGTTATTTCAAGTAAATAGGATAATCTTTTTAAAACCTTTTGTAGAAGTGTAGTCGTATATCACCTCTTGTGTCGTCTAAGGCTTTAGTAAAACTGATAAATTATTTTCTTGTATTCGCAACGATCTTTATATTACGATAAAAGCATGAGCAACGAACACTCACTGATCGTTTCTGTTTCTTTTTTTGCAGTTTTTATTGTATAATCGATATTACAATCCATTATCAAGCACATATAGTTCACTTAGCCGTGATATTGCAATACTGAACGAAATAATGGCAACTCAGTTATTACCAAATCTCCAATTTGAACAAAGCAACACAGATTGGTCTCCCTTGGATGACGACATTACAATACAATTACCTTCGTCGAGTAATAATGGGACTTCTTTAAGAAAAACTATTGATGAGCATATTCATAGTTTTCTTTATGGTCCTTTGCAAAAGAAAAAGCCAAGACTCCCTATTTTCATTGAAATTTGCCCGGATTCATTAGCTGCCCCTAATAGTTTGTAATAATATTTGTTATTACTGTATCCGTTAACTTTTAGTTGCAACTTTGAAATATTTTATATTTATATGTCATAAATAATACCTCAAAAAGTTGCAACTAAAAGTTAACAGGAGGTAACAATTTTTTTGATGAATAGTTGTAATATGCGATACTAGATGAATAAATGCAAATTAAGTATTTTAGTTAAGGATGTAATAGATGTTAATTAGATTACTTAAAATTTAATTAATAGTTAAAGAGGTTAATGTTTTAAGGGTTAAGAAGTAGTTGGCTAAGGAAATAGGTCTTGTGAACACGAGATTTACTCACACTTTTATTGTTATATGGAACATAATGACCCTAATTTTAACATAGTAACCTTTATTAAAAGTTGTGTGACATTTAATATTATTGTGAACCTAAAGTACGACATTATGTTAAACATAATGACCCTAATTTTAACATATTAACCTTTATTATTTATAAGAAAAATTGCTAAAAAGAATATCAACTTTTACGTATTCGCTTTAAATAATCCCAACTTTGGGTTATTATTTATAATCCCAACTTTGGGGGTCATTCGCTCAAAATAGTTCCATATGACTAGTAATAACCTGTTAACTATGTAATTTTTTTTAAAAGTTCATTAACACGTGTCATCGCGTTAATTGTTGAAAATATATTTTGTTAAAAAAACCCAACCTTAGCCCACAACCCACAACAACCACGCAACCACTGGCGTTGGGCCTGCCACTGACCTAGCCCAAGTCCCCGGCCTCTACCTGCTGTGCCCATATGACCCCCTCCCCCCATGCCGGCACCACCCTAACCGACGACCTTTTCCCTCAAACAATCAATCTCCCATCTCTAAACTTGACTGAAAGCCCTAAACTACCTTCACCACCGTATAAAAGCCCCCCAACTGCCCCTCTCCCACCACCAGAACCCTAGCACTAGGGTTTCGATATTGGTGGAGGAGAGACTATGGGTTTTTATGTGGTAGGGGAGGTGAATTAGGGTTTCGGGTGGTTGTAGGTGGGATTTCGGGGGTTTTGGGCTGCGGGATTGGTGGTTTTGGGGGAAAGGGAGCTACCGATGCATGGGAGGGGGTTATGGCCGATGCGTGGGTGAAGAAGGGGGTTTTGGCCACCACAGTTCGTTGTTGTGGGGAAGGTGGTTTATGGGTGGTGGTTGGACATTTTTTTAAGTTGTTCTCTTTTTTGCTTTTTTTTTCCCCAAATCTTGTAAGTTTTTTTTTTAAAAAATTTCAACCAATCACATGGTGACATGTGTAAGCTTGACATATTATAATAGGTTAGTAAACCGTTAGGGACCAAAGAAAACGAATAAACCCCAAAATTGGAATTATATTTAATAATAATCTAAAGTTGAGTTTAGTTTAAGTAACTTTTTCTTATTTATATTGACTTGTATATAAAATAATATTTTAAAAATAAAATAACCTCTTATAGCCTTTATAATATCATAATGACTCTTATTAAGGTCCTGCCTGGATTGGCAGTAAAGATGGAGGAAAGAGTAAAGGAGTAAAATATTCTGGTACTTTTACTTGCCTGGATAGAAAGTAAAATTGCAAGGGAGTAATATATTCCCCTAAAAAGGGGGTAAAAGTTACCCAGACCCCCCCCCCCCCCAGTGAAATGATTTCCCCCTCAACATCACCGCCTGATTTCCATTTCTCTCATTCTCCTCTTTACCAACCTGCCTTCAACCTTCCAACTCCCACCGTCTTTATTCCACCAAAGCCAAGTCCAACAAAAAATTATTTATACTCCAATTTTTATGAGCTTACCAAGGTCCGTTCAAGTTAGTGCAGGTAATGGAGGAAATCCTTACTCTAGAATTAATGCCAAACTTTAGGAAAATGAAGTTTTACCCTATAACTGATCCTCTACTAATTTTTTCCCCATTAGATTTTAATCCCCTAATTATTTCAAGGAATCCAGGCAGGGCATAAAAATAATTCTTTTCCTGTGAAAAAATTAAGGCAAGTAGATTGAAACACCGACCAACAAGAGTTAGCTCAAGTGGTAAGCAACTTGGTTTCGCTTAAGGGAGGTCTCGGGTTCAAGCCTCACCGTATGCAAAAAGTCTTGTTGGAAAACTCACCCATCATAAGCCAAGTGTGCTACTCAAGTCGGATCAAGAATCCGGAGCTAAGTTTCGGTGCACTATGTGGGCAATCTTTAAAAAAAAAATTGAAACACCCATCCAATAAGAATAAACGATATATAAAAGCATGTAAAATAAGATAGATGTAGTACTTATTTTAAAACGTGAGAAATAAAAAAAAAATTAATAATAATAAAAATACACTGTGGAAGTGAGGAATACTAGGCAGTTATTAATTGACATGATGAAATCCACATTAAATGGCAAGAAATAAAAGTAGTCAAACATGAAACACATAAAAAAAAGTGTGAAGTCCACTAATGCATGCATAAATGCCTTTTACAAGACGCGGAACTTTAGATTCGTCCACACAAGTGTTCTACGACGTTGACTACTTATGCACATTCTTCATCTGCTTATTATTGGTAGGCTACACCATTTTTGTTCACACCATCATAATAAATGTCTTCTCATCACCTTCTACTTTCTATATAATTTATATAAACAAACTTGATTGTGAGAAAATTATTAACAATATTTCTTTGAAAACATAAAATAGAAAAGAGAGAAGGAAAGATGGTTGTCACAAGTAACATGGCTATGAATATGGGCATCAAATGTTGTGTGAAGGATGATCTTTTTACTCCTTATCAATTGGGAAAATTCAATCTATCTCACAGGTTTGTCTTTTATTTCATTCATTGTCTTCTATTTAGATTTTCGATCAAATTATGACAATGTTTGTATCAAAATGTAACTTTGCTTGTTTGCTTGTCAAATTACATTTAAATTTTAAATTAAGTCAATTACTGTTATTACTTATTATAACTGTTGTTATCAGATAGAGTCTGTTCTTTTTTGTTTATTTCAGTTTAGTTTCTAATTTTCTTCTATTATAAAATATTAATTTTATCTCAGTTCAATAAATGAGAATAAGTCCATAGACCATTAGAAATTTCTACGAATTTTAATGATTAGAATCTTAAAACATAAAATATGTACCACTTTCGTTTCATATTATTTTCAAAGTTATTTTTAATATAAAGGAGAGATTGTACAATTTTTTAAACCATATGGTGAGAAATTTTATTACTCCAGAAAATATTCCAATCTTTTACCTTACACTAGAGGTGAATAAAAAGCCCGACCCATTTGGCCCACATGACCCGAAAATTTTTCAATAGATCCGAAATCCCGGCCTGAGCTTGGCCTGAAAGCGTTGTTAAAAACTTAAAACCCAATATGATGGATTATGATCACTATGATAATTGAATTTTAGATTGAAATTTCTGATGTAATTGGGTTGATAAAAGGGAAAAATAAGGTTTATATATTTATGGATTTTCTTTTGAGTTTGCTCCATATGTTTTTAGTGTGTTTTTTCACTTGCTCTTTATCGTTATTTCTCACGTGCCCAAGGCTTATTAAAATGAAAGTTGAGGTAAGTAACTATGCTGTAGCTAACTCGTTTATCGTTAAGCTAATGGTTGAGGTCCAGGAATATGTTTTATACTCTGTTAGTATAAATCGTGATACACGCCATTTTCCAAATGGTCAATTTTTACAAACAACTACTTACTCAATAAATGTAACAATTTCTTCATTTCTCCCAAAACATGATTACACATGAATCATTTAGAATTTTAGACAATATACAAAATTAACATGATAAAGTAAATAAGTAAATGTGTAAGCTAATTGTTGCTTGGTTAATAGTAGCAATGAATATTTTTTCACTTGAAACTTTTTTGTGTAACAGGGTAGTATTGGCACCAATGACGAGAAGCAGAGCAATAGATGAAATGCCAAATGAAGCACTTGAGAAGTATTACACCCAACGTTCCACTCCTGGTGGCTTACTTATTACTGAGGGCACTCTCATCTCCCAAACTGCTGGAGGGTAATCATTCCACTTGTTGTTAACTCGTTAGTAAATTGGTTATACTTAATCGAATACCCTTTATATTCCATCCTTAAATTGTGTGTCAATATGGTGATTTGCACTGAGAATCAAGGTTGGCCTAGACGCCTAGTGGCTGGAGGCCCTCCTGGAATTCGATTTTCACCCGAAGCAAGTGGGATCTATAATTTCCCCCCCTACTTGCAAGGGAATTCTCCTTATTACCCTAGCTTAAAAAAATGATTATGTTATACAAAGTATTATACCACACGGGGGTGTTTATTAAGTTTCTTTAATTATGTTATAGGTTCGCGCATTGTCCAGGGATCTACACAGAACAACAAGTGGAAGCATGGAGGAAAATAGTAGACTCAGTTCATGCTAAGGGTGCTATTTTCTTCTCTCAATTGTGGCACGTTGGTCGGGTTTCTAACCAAGGTAACAACTTATACTCCTCTCCAATTCATCCAAACACCCAATTATAATCACCATTCATGTTAATTTTAGGAAAATTTTGCACCACTAATCTGAACTTTGGGCCTAGCTTCCCATAACTATGTACACATTGACACTACAATCCATAAAATCGTTACAAAATTGTCTACTTTCAACTTCGGAATGAGGAAATGCTAAGGGGTTTATTATGAAAAGGCTAAATCTAACAATGTTATGTACTTGTATATTGTCTATGTGTAGTGTATCAACCTGATGGAGGTGCGCCAATATCATCAACAAATAAAGTTTTATCAGAAAAGTGGCGTATCTTAATGCCCGATGGTTCACACGAAAAATGCACCCCGCCACAAGCCCTGACTCCACCTCAAATATCAGAGGTCGTCGAACACTATCGCCAAGCTGCTCTCAATGCCATTCGTGCTGGTATACATTTTTCTACTCATTTTACACTACTTATGCACTTACATTAGCAATTTTCGATTTTTTTTTTACACATTGAGTGTGATACGTAGGATTATTATTGAGAGAAAATTGCATAATAATGACATGACTACGCACGACTTAAAGATTTACCTAATATGATTTTTTTTTTTCATTGTTAAATTGCAACAATTGATGTATGTACATTGTTGATTAAAGTGTTTCTTTTTCTACATAAACGTGTTTAGTAAACACTAAGCTGTTTAATCCTATTGTAACAGACTCCTTTAAATAAACCTTTATTGGTAGGATTTGAACATGTGACATATACTATTTTATCCCTAGCATATGTAATCATACTTTTTTATTAGATTGAATCATGCAAAACAAAAATTTCACTTGGGGCAATGAAAATATTAATTTTTGCTATGAACATTTTATTAATAGGTTTTGATGGAATAGAGATACATGGAGCACATGGTTACCTAATAGACCAATTTCTCAAGGATGCAATCAACGATCGAACCGATGAATATGGTGGTCCATTGGAAAACAGAATTAGGTTCCTAATGCAAGTAGTACAAGCCGTTGTAGAAGCCATAGGAGCCGAGAAAGTAGCCGTAAGAATCTCACCAGCCATAGATCACTTCGACGCCCTTGATTCCAACCCGCTAGCATTAGGCCTAGCCGTTGTCAATGGACTCAACAAGCTACAATCCGACTTGGGATCAAAGCTCGCCTACCTCCATGTGACCCAACCCAGGTTCACGGCCCAAGGCGTGGTTGATAAGCCAGCCGAAGAAGCCGAAGCTGATGCTCAATTGTTGAGGAAATTAAGGGATGCATATGAAGGGAGTTTTGTGAGTAGTGGTGGGTATACTAAGGACCTTGGGATGGAAGCTGTGGCTCAAGGGGATGCTGATTTGGTTGCATTTGGACGTCTTTTTATCTCTAATCCTGATTTAGTGCATAGATTGAAGATTGATGCACCATTAAATAAGTATGATAGGTCTACGTTTTATACTCATGATCCTGTTTTGGGTTATACTGATTATCCCTTTTTAGGTGACGAATATGTTAATTAAGTCCTTTAGAAAGTAGTCGCATTATCGTACATGATGAAACAGATCAGAAGAGCTTGTGTTGTGGTTCTTATTTGTATGATTTTTTTTTTCTCCCCAATTACATATTAGAACAATAAGAAGTAATGTTGGGAAATCTAATCTTTAGTTTCCAATTTCAAATTTATTAAATAAGGGTATTTCTGTTCAAAGCAAAATATGTTATTAGAGAAAATTATCATATTCGAAAGAAATTAATGGTCAGCCACACCGTGTGGCCAACCATTATGGTGGTTACTTTGTTATTGTTATTGTTGTATGAGTTACTCACTCGATCAGGGGTTAGTAAGTCGGTCAGAGCCTCAAACGTTACTAGTCGATCAAGGGTTACTCACTCGATCAGGGGTTACTAAGTCGATCAGAGCCTTAAAGGTTACTAGTCGATCAAGGGTTACTTGGTGTGTGTCAGCCGGCCAAACGATGTGGCGAGCCACACACAAAAGTTGTTGGAAAATAAAAGAGGTTGATTAAGGACCTATTCTGTTTAGCTTAATTTTAGTTTAGTTCATTTCAATTCAGCTCAGTTTAGTTCAGTTCAATTCAATCCTTAATTTCCTTCTCTCATAAACAATTCATTTCATCTCTATTCAGTTCAGTTCAGTTCAGCTCCAATCAGTTCAGTTTAGTCCAGTTCAATTGTTTTCAGTAAATCGAAACTGATCCTAAATATCTCTCATTTCGAAACTAGCTTTTTCATAGGAAAGATTCTTAAAACTATTTAACCAGCAAATTTCAAAATATCGAAAAAAAAAATAAGTAACAACCAAGACAATAATACTTTGTGGGTACGAATTAACATAATAACATGCACTTGCTTGACCCCATATGATATTGATTTACGTTACACTTAGTACTCATAGTCTCCTAGACACCACCTTTGTTGAGTAATTAGGTTTTGATGATTATAAACTAATGATGATTATCTATTTAACGTGTTTGTTTAGTTGTGCATAGATAGAACAAGTTATACTTGGAACAGGGTACAAGGAACCTGAGTAATGACAGGTATATATGTAAGGAACTTGAGTAATATATGATAAGCAATAAAGGAACAAGAACAATGAGAAGTGTTATGGTCTATAAGCATGATGATGGCTAAGGAACCATGAAGGTAACTATGTAAATAGGTATTTACATATGTTAGCTTCACGAGGTAAGTATCCTATGCATATATAGGTCATGTATGTGTAGGAGTATTTTAATTTAGTTTAGTTTTCTTTATTGTTTTTATAAATGAAAAAACTAACCTTCTGCTTTACTTTGTTATTCTCAGAAGTTTGCTCAGTTTGTCATCATCAAAAAGGGGCAACTTGTTGACCCTTATGAGGTTTTGATGATGATAGTTATGATTGAGCAAATTTCCATTTAATAAGGATTTCTAGTGTTTTGATGTTTGCAGGTTTAGTAAACTATGAGAGTTGAAGAAGGAACTGAAACAGAGGAACTTTAGAAGATCCATGAGGATACAAGTAAAGTTAGAAGAAGAGTTCCAGAAATGGAACTTCAAGGTGTTCCCTGACAGGAACATACCACGGGTTGTAATGACCTGGTTCTGGTGTAATGCTGGGGCAAAGGTGTTTCCTGACAGGAACATATCAACGGGTCGTAACGACCTGGTTCCGGTTTAATGTTGGGGAAAACCCTAAGATCCAGAATATATCAAGACTACAAGATTCCAGAACAAGCGTTTCAGAGAAGCAGCATGAAGACAGAGAAATAGAAGTATATTGCTCTAGGATTCATGTAAGTATGTTGGACATAAAAGTTGGTCTGGAACAAGTCTATATAGAACCAAGGTGAACTCCAAACAGTCAATGAAATTAGAGTACGAGTGACTGACTTGTCAGGAACTCAGAGACTGTCAGAGTTCAGGAACCTAATAGGAACTTAAGTATGCACGTCGTTAACAGTCGATTTTAATGATATATATATTTACCTTATACGTGCTTATCGTTTAGGGATTTGGTTTTACTGAATAAAGGTATTTATCTTCTAATAAATCCCTTTTGGAAAAAGATAATTTTGTTTAAAAATTATTTTTAAATAAAAAGATAAGATTGGAATAAAATCTGATTTTATGTTAATTATATCTTATTATTCATAACAGATTTTATCCTTAACAAAAAGATATATTTTCGGAAAACTGGTTTTTAGAAAATATCTTTTAAACTTATCTTTTCAGAAAACTTATCTTTTTCAAGATGAAATGAATAATTCGAGTGTACTATAAATATGCTCATATGTATTCATTCAAAGTTGAGGCTGACAAAGTGTAGTGGTCGTGCTTAATGGTTTTATCCTTCACCACGGAGCTAAGTCAGTTCTCCTGGTCAGAGTTCCTATCAGGTTTTGGTTACAGTACGTCCAGTGAGTTCCAGACAGATCTTGAGTGTTCAACATATTAGTTTTATCTCTTTATTCATAGATATGTATTTAGGGATATTCAATGAGATCTTGTAACGGGAAAAAGGGTTTTGAGTGTTTTGTATTTTGGGGGTGAGATTGTGAATTCTCTTAAATTCACGTTTGAGTGTATGAGTTTGAATTCTCTAAAATTCGAGTGGTAGTTAGTCACCCCGAGTGTGTCTTGGGTTGCATAGTGAGAAAAAGGAACCTGAGCGTGGCTTAGGTCGAGAAAGGAACCTGAGTGTGTCTTGGGTCGAAAAAGGTGTCTGAGTGTGTCTTAGGTCTGATAGGATATGGTCTTATCAATTAGCAAGTGTCTTAGGAGGAACTTGCGAAGCAAAGGTCTGTATAATAGGTTGTACTAGGAGAGTTGCCTATTATAGTAGAATTTGTTTATAAGTCCCAATAGGGCCGAGGTTTTACTTCCAGCTAAGCACTGGATGGTTTCCTCGTAAATCTTGCTATGTTCTTTAAGTTCCTTTTATGTTTTGTTTTCACTACCACAAAATAGGGAATACAGAACGCCTAAAACAAGGGATATAGAACGCCTCAGAGGCGTTCTTCTGAGGGGTGCCCTATAAAGTCTACAGAACGCCTCTTTGAGGCGTTCTATATCTAACACAATACAGATCGCTCATCTTAGATAGGAGCTTCATATTCTAGGTATAAATTAAATAAAAAACAAGGAAAATAGAGCTGTCATCCTGAGATAGGCGTTCTATAACAATATAAAAAAAGAACGCCTACCATAGATAGGTGCTCTCTTTTCTTTATTTTTTTAAAAAAAAAAATTATGATTATGATTATTATTATTATTATTAAATAATAATAATAATAATAATAATAATAACTCATACGTGTAAAATGAAATAAACATGATTTATTATGATACTCAACTTTTTATTTATCAAATACATTAAAAATACAATAGTTCAATTACAATAAACTTAATTCCTCCATAATTACATTACAAAGATACAAAAAACAAATAATTACTCCCTAAGACTCATAAGCAAAAGAGAGCCATTAACTGGAACTGACCATATTGTATTGAAAATAATTAAGAAAATCTAAAAATAAGACTAAATCTTAAGATAAAAATATGAAATTTGAGATCTAAAATTAATAATAGAAAATGAAAGCTCACTCCCCAAATCGCACACCACCCACGGCCAACACCACGACCCACCGTATCCCGCTGTGACCCACCCCCACGACCCCCACCACCAAATACCCCCCACGACTCACACCACCACCTGCAAAACCCACTATAAACAGAAATTCGCACACCGCCCCAAAATTAACAAAAATAAACATAATCGATTATATCAAATATAATAAAAAGTAAAATCAGATCTAAATAATAACTACACAAAAAATAAATTATAATCAGAGAGGAAGAGGGGCGTGAGATTCTAAAATTCATAGATGTTAATCTACTATTATGTTCTTTGCTGCAAAGTGAATCAAATTGAGAACTTGACTTCAATATCTTTGGAAAAATTATAAAGCCTATAGATGTATTTGCTGGGGCAGGGAATTTGAGGAGAGAGAAAGAGAGGAAGAGGGGAAAGAAAGGGGAGGATGATCTTTGATCTAGAAAGAGAAGGAGTGTGAAAGAAAAGAAGATATAAGGGGGCGGCTACAATTTGAAACGAAGTAGTTTAGGGTTAGGTGGGTTGTGGTTGTCATACATGATACTTCCAATTTATTTTATTTTTTTAAAAAAATTATTATACTGATAGAACGGTTAATCAAAGGAGGCGCTCTATATTTGTTAGTGTAAATTTGAATTTATCATATAGAACGGTTAACTTAGATAGGCGCTCTGTAGGTTTTAACATACAAAGCGCCTATCTTACATAGGCGATCTGTATAATTCTAGAGATCGCATATACAACTTGACCGTTGTGTATTATGTGTTACTTATTCCCTATTTTGTGGTAGTCTTTTAATTTCCGCATAAGTTTCACGATTGGAACCTACTACCATTCACCCCCCCTCGTAGTAGTTCATCTAAACTAACAATTGGTATCAGAGCGGGTGCTCTTGATAAACCGGGCAACCCCGAGGAGCAAGTTCCAGGCTAAGATGGATATCTACGAGGAATGCAACGAATGGAACTCAACCCTAGAACGTTCCCATACCACGTGAAGACCAAAGTCTGCTTGTGAAGCAAAAGTGAATCAAAGATGAACATCTTTGAGGTAAGTGTCTCGTCTTTGAATTCCTTAATATGCATGTTATTATGTGTAGAAGTTCCTTGCAGTATTTCTAGTTAAACTTTGGATTTTGTTTTGAAAGTTTGTAAATCAATTTTGTGTAACCTTTAATCTGATTTATAGCGTGAAAAGTATTTGTCAGATTTACGAATTGATTTATTTTTAAAGAATCGATTTACTAAAAATAGTTCAAGGAACGTATTGTGTAGAATTATGCATATTTGGTCTCTTGGAACCTGGATTATCCCTGTATGGAAACTTAATTCTTTGGGCAAGGTAATGAATGTATATTTTGAATATTTGCCAAAGAATGACCTTATCATGTGTATGTATTATTCTGAATATTTATTATGTAGACACATGATGTTTATTGTTAGTAAAGATAGTTAGTTTAACCGTAGTTATTTTAATTATGGATTATTGACGTCTATTACTAACATGAAGGTACCCAATATATATTGGGAAACCAAAGCCAAAAGATGACTGATTTTGCAGGCTAT